GGGCACTGTGGGGGGCAGGCGGGCTGTGGGGGACAGGTCGCGGGTCTTGTGGAGGGGAGCAAGCTAGGGTCTCGGCTCCACCTCTGACTAGTCCTGCTGGTCCCGTAGATGCACCTGTCTGGAAAGAAAACGAATAAGACCCCCGTGCTGGCCTTCTTCAGCAACAGGCACCTCCGCAAGGTGGTCGTGGTGATGGGCTGCCTGTGGTGAGTGCTCGGGCCGGCTGCTGGCCCTGCAGAGGGCTTGGAAGCCAGGAACACGGAGGGCAAGGGGATGGTCAGGCTGCCAGGGAGCAAGAGGCAGGAGCCACAGGCAAGGCCCGGAGATCACAGACCTCTGTGCGAATGTCTCCCCTCCGTCCCCCCCTGCCCCCTCTGTCTTCTGCCTCTAAGCCTTGCTCTGTGTGTGTGTCTGTCCCTCTCCTGGCTTTGTTCCAGGTTCTCCGTCGGTTACACCTATTTAACACTGAGCTTCAAGATGAAGGATTTTGGCGTGAGCCCCTACGCCCGGCAGATGATTCCCAGCCTCCTGGAAGTGCCTGCCCGGCTGTGCTGCATCTTGCTCCTGGAGCACCTGGGGAGGAAGTGGACCCTGGCTATGACTCTCCTGCAAAGCTCCCTGGTGTGCTTGCTTGTCCTTCTCCTCCCACGAGGTACAGCTCACCAGGTGGCACCCTTCTCCGCCCAGCTTCCTCCTCCCTCTGACCCTCCCTGAGTGCACCTGCCGGCCCAGCAACCTGAGACACCCGGGGGTTGGCCTTCTGCACCCAGAGCCCACCCACGCTGAGGAGGGTGCCCCTTGGGAGCAGGCTCCGTCCCGGGGGCACTGCCTGCGTCCCGGCAGTGGGAGGGCCCAAACAGGGCCCACGCACACCCTCAGAGGCCTGAGAGAGGCTGGCCCGTTGCCCAGAGCCGTTGTCCTTGTCCGGGAGAGCAGCCGTCCTTCTTCCACCTGATTCCAGTGCGTGTCCAAAGCAAATCTGATGGCTAAAAGTGAACAGATGCTGGCAAAAATATTTTGCTACCCCTAGCTCTGCCTCTCATCTGTAGCTCCTTTGACTGGGAAAAACCTGTTCTGTAACTTTGAAGGACCCTGGGTGGCACAGTTTACGCTCAACTATGAACCCAAACTTTGGTGGTTCAGACCCACCCGGCAGCTCCACGAAAGAAAGGCCTGGCGATCTGCTTCCATGAAGATTGTTGTCATTAGTTGCCACTGAGTTGATTCTGACTCATAGTGACCCCATGTGTGCAGAGTAGAACTGCTTCATAGGGTTTTCAAGGCTGTGACGTTTCAGAAGCAGATCTCCAGTCCTGTCTTCCGAGGCCCCTCTAGGTGGCTTTGAACCACCAACCTTTTGGCTGGTAGTTCAGAGCTTAACCATTTGCGCCACCCAGAGACTCCCAAGAAAACCCTACTGAGCAGTTCTACTGTGTAACACATGGGGTTGCCATGAGGTGGAACTGACTCCACAGTAATGGGTTTGGTTTTTGGTTTTGGTCTGTAATTTCACCAGGAAAAATAACCCGCCCGCTGAAGACCGAGCGTAAGACTAGGCTAAGCTCTCAGGATGTTCTTGTGTGGAGGCCTCAGTTTCCGGACTCAGTGCCCTGCTTGCCACAGGGCCGAGAACTAAAGAAGGCAGCAGGGCAGGGCTGGCAGTTACCCTGAACATTTCAAAGGGCCCTAAGTCAATGAATAGAACCCAGGTCACAGAGCTGGAGAGTAGCAAGGCTGGGATGTGGCCGTGAAGAGGTCATCGTACACACACTTAGGATTGCTGTCTGCGAGAGCCCTCTCGGCTGTTCCAGGATCAGCCTTGGGCGCTCCCTTTCTCTGGGGAGTGGGCTTGTGTGTGTCTGAAGGGGCCCTCCCCGCCTAGATGTTGGCAGTGTTGACTGGCAGTTGGTGAAAACAAATCGATTATTAAAAGTGGGTCTTTGTAAGTGAATCAAGCAGAGATATTTTAAACCCTCCAACATGTGAGAGAAACTGGGAATAGAATTCCCAAAGGTGAACTAGATCTCTGCTTGCGTCCTGGCGCCAGAGTGGGGTGTGGGGTTGGGGCGGGGTCCAGCAGAAGCGGACAGGGAAAAGCCGCAAACTGTCCAGATCCAGGCCCGTGGGCAGGGCCTCCAGCCTCCAGCTTCACCACGCCCGCAAAACGGGCTTCGCTGGGTGCTGGCTCTTTTCTTTCTCCCTCCACGTACATGTCCAGCTGCCCAGAACTGGGCATCCTGGAAGGCCTAACACCAGTCCTAGCTGCTCAGGCCCCAGTCCACCCCAACGTGGATGAAGGGGAGAGTTGGGAGCAGGGCCTAGGTGAGAGAACCCTGAGCAGGGACCTGGCCCACAGGACACGGGGGGAGTTTGCTGAGCGGGCCTGGGTGCTAAGTGGATGCCCCAGGAGGGAGCGGCAAGTGGGGTGAGGTGGGGTGAGGCAAGCTGCAGCTGGGTGAGGATTTGGAAGAGAAGAGAGAGCACCGAATGGGGGCTGGGTCCGGCCTGGTGATGGTAGCCTGTGAGGCCAGCGGGGCCCCAGTGGAACCCCCCACCCCTGCTGACCAGCTCTCCTACTGCAGATGTCCTAGTTCACGGCCTGGCTGGACGTCAGACAGGCTGACCCTCCTCTGGCCAAATGCCTGGGTCTGCTGACGGGCTGACCAGGGGGTGGGGACAGACTGTTTAGATGCCTCCTGGGAGGGACGGAGGGAGGGCTCCCCCCACCCCACCCCGACGGGGGGATGGGCCCAGACTCAGGTGGCCATGTTGGCTGGCCACAGGGTTGAAGTTCACGGTGTTCTTGGTGATCCTGTTGGGAGAGTTCAGCCTGGCCGGCTCAGTCACCCTGCTCCTCATCTACACCGCCGAGCTCTTACCCACTGTGCTCAGGTACGGGCCTGGGGGTGAGCGGGGTGAGCGGGCCTGGGGACGGCCGGCCAGGAGCAGCATTCATAAGAGCAGCTGAACTTACTGAGCATTTACCTGGTGACAGGCGCTGTGCTAAATCCGTGGATTACCCCTCTTACCCAGATCTCCCCAATGCTATCACGACGAACCCTATTGCAGATAAGAAAATCGGGAGGACAAGACCCTTGCTAATGCTCAGATGGAGCCGATGGCAGGGCCGGGATTCGGGCCCCGGCGGTCTGACTCCAGAGCCCCACCCGCACGCACTCCCTCTGAGCTCAGACCCTTCACCCCCACACTGATGGCAGCTGTGGTCCCTGCCCACCGGGTGTCACTGCCCGTGCCTCCTGGCTCACGCCCACACAGTGCTGTATGGTTCTATTTCTCCCAAGCCTGAGCCCCCCGGAAGCAGACCCAGAGAAATCCTTACCTACTTTGAATCAATGGAGAACGCAATTCTCCAAAGTCTTGCAACGAGCTGGGACGGGGCGGAGACTGGAGGGTGTGGGGCTGCAGGGGGGCGGCTCCCTTCTGCCGGCCCTGAGCCTCGGGGCCTGGGGTGCCTCCCAGACAAGCTCTCACTTCCCCTTCCAGGGCCACAGGTCTGGGGCTGGTGTCTCTGGCCTTTGCGGCTGGAGCCATCTCGTCCCTGAGGATCTCGCTCATCAGCCAGACCCCCTCCATCCTGCCTGCCAGTCTGTCCTGCGCCTTGGCTCTCCTGGCCTCATACCTCTGCTTCCTGCTGCCGGAAACGCAAAATCAGCCCCTCGCCGACAGAATCAAGCACATGTCCTCACAGTTAAGGTGGGTGTGCGAGGTCTGGGCTCCGGCCAGCACAGAGCCTGCTCCCGAGCCGTTGTCACGGAGAGTATGGCCGACACTGTCCACCGCTGCTCCGTGGTCAGAAGGCCTAGCGACACGCAGGCCACCCTGTGGCTTCAGAAGCCTCCTAGCTCCCCTGGGTGTCTGCCTGCTTCCTTGGCTCCGGCCCAGCCTCTGCCAGCTCCCTCCCTGCCTGGTTCTCCTCACCCAGCCTGGCCAGGTCCTCTCTGTCCTCTCCCCCCAACCAGGAGGCAGCTGTCTGCCTGTCTGGGCTGGACACTGCCTTTGGAGATGCCTCCAGGGGCGCTGCAGCAGTGCCCTGGCCTCCCTCCCTTCCCAGAGCACAGGGGACGGGCGTGGAACCAGCTCTCTGAATAGCTCTCCTTTCCTGTCTGAACGTCCAGGGCTCTTAAGGACCCAGGTTCATTCACGACTCTGGCCTTGGCGCCAGTAGCTACATTTGGGAACTGGATTCCACCCAGCCCCTCTGTGGGCACTGCTGGCCTCTGGAGGGGACTTGTCTTGCTTGGCAGAACCACCCCTCCTGGGATTTGGGCCAACAGAGCCTATAACGCTCTCCCGAACCTGAGACAACCTGAGGACCAGTGAGGTGCGGAGGTTGCCTGAGGTCCCGCAGTGCCCTCTGCTCTGTACCAAAGCGGTCGCTGCCTCTGGTCTTCCTCATCCCACCTCCCGCTTCCCTCCTCAAACTTTAGGCTAGGCACTGTGCCAGGGGCTGTACTGTCAGAGGTAGGTGGGCTCCACCCTTGAGGAAGTCATCGTCTGTGGGGAGACAGATATGCAAACACTTATCACATGCAGGCTCTGATGGAAGGATGTGCAAGACCTACAGGAGCCCAAGAAGGAAGCACCTTCAGTGTGGAGAGCGAGAACAGGCTTCAGAGGAAGTGGCATTTGAGTAGGGCTTTGAAGGATGAATAGGAGTTTGCCGCAGTATAGAGAGGAGGAGTACGACGCAACAGAGTAAAGGGCATAATAGTTAAGAACATAGGCACTGGAGCCAAAGGGCCTGGATTTCTGTTTCTGCGCCACCATTACCCAACACCTCTGAGACTCGGTTTCTTCGTTCGTAAAAATGATATCATGGTAATAACAACAGCTGCCGCTGACTGAGCATGTCATGTGTCAGATCCGGCCCTCATCTCACCTTGCCGCAAAAACCACATGCGAGGTGGGTCCTATCGTTAATCCCCCATTATACAGATGAGCAAGCAGAGGCACAGAGAGGTAAAGCCACGTAGTCCAGCCTTCCTCTCCTACAGAGTTTTCGGGAGGACTGAACCCACGCAATGCAGTTGGCAGGGTGCCTGGCACATAGCAAGCGCTCAGTACGTGTTAGCGATGAAGATGTAGACAGAAACCTCGAGCCATGGAAGAGTGAAGGGCCTGGCCAGGGTTGGGCGATAGACCAGGTCTGACCCTGGAGGTGAGGGTTCCTCACGGGCCCATCCAGAATCTTGGCTGGGACCTGCAGGTGTGGGAAGGCCCCACCTTGCAGGGAATGCAGTGGCGGCCATGGCTGCAGGGCCTCAGCGTCGCTGCTTTGCTCAGCTTACAGAAAAAGATGAGCCAGGAAGACCCCTTGGAGACCCTCACTGAGGATACGTCGTCTGAGGATGTGAGCGAGGAGGCAGCCAAGAACGCGGTTCTCAATACCATGGTTCAGAAGGTGGACTCCGACATCCTCGTCACCATGCCACAGCAGCCCAGAAAGCGAGCCGACAGGCAGGACCCCTGAGGCCAGGCCCCCGACGGTCTCGGGCTGGAGTTGAGCGACTGGGGGTCAGTCCAGCTTAGGGGGCAGGGCCAGTCCTGCTCCGAGGCTGGCCCTTGAGATCCAAAAATGCCCCATTTCGGGAAGCTAGAGTGTGGTATGTTCCAATAAAGCTGCAGTGTTGGTCTTGAGATGACTCAGATCCAAACTGGCCGTGTCCAGAGAACCCAGTGGTCCTGGCCTGTGGGAAGGTGGGCCCGACAGGCTCCCCCAGGCTCCTAAGTGTCCTTGGCTAAACCCTTGGGGACACCAGAGAAGCTCTCTGGGAGTGCCTGGGGGTGGGCATGGGCAGGACAGCACCCCCAGGCTGACTATGTCCCTAGCCCAGGCGGCTGCTAGCGGAGTGGGCGCCCAGCTCCAGCACGGGCCGAGGGCACATTTCAACCCCCACCTTTATGCACCGTCACGGCAGAGATGGATGGTAAAGGCCCAATGAGAACTCGTCCCGTTGGTACCATTGCACAGGGCTTTTATGCATCTTCTCCCTTTGATGCTCCCAGGTAAGGATGTCCTTGGGGATGACCCCATTCAGTCCCCATCCTTGGGGATGCCTTCCCTGATGGCTCCTGCCTAGCTGACCACTGACCTCCGCCCCAGAATGAGCCCCCACACTGCAACTCACCCTGAGGGGGGTCTGCCTTCCCAGACAGCTTTGGGGTTCCCCCAGGGAGGCTCAAGATACCTCATCCTTTAGCCAGACCGGGGAGGCCTTGGGGACAGGCCCTGTCACCCCCTCCTCCGTCCCTGGGCGGGGAGGTCCCTAGGGTGGGCCTGGGTCTTCTCCTCTGCTGGCGCCCGGTTGTTGCAAGGCCACGACCTTGCAGGGTGTAGCTCTGGTCTAACTCCCGGAGCCTCTGTGGGAAGGAGGACTCAGAAGAACGCCAGCGCTCAGGAAGCGTGGGCGGCCAGGCCCAAGGTCTCCGGGCCAGGGGGAAGTGCCACGAAGCAGAAAGCGGTCTCAGCGCTTCAGGCTCTTTGGGTCGAGGACACAGTTTTGGTGTGCCCTCCAAGCTTCCGACAGTGAGAAGCGGGTGCCCCCGCCTTCGCCATTCAGTTTTGATTTGTGGTCTCTTGGTACTTTACGGGGTTTCCTGGGATTGCCTCCAAAGTGGGGCTCGATGAGCCCAGAAAGTGCCTTGCAAAGTGTTCACTCACACAACACTAACCAAGACCAGTTGCCTGACTCGTGGCGATTTTTCAGAAGTAGATTGCCAGGCTTTTCTTCCGAGGCACCTCTGGGTGGGTTCAAACTGCCGAGTACTTAACTGTGTGTCCCAGGGATGCCCGGGATGCTTTAGTTTTCCATCCCTCGCTGCCTTTTCTGGGGAGGCCTGTCTGAGCTGTGAGGACCAACGTATAAGCCCCGATTAAACCCAAAACCAAAACCTGTCGGCGTCAAGTTGATTTTGACTCCTAGTGACCCGTAGGACAGAGCAGAACTGCCCCACAGGGTTTCCAAGGCCGTCAGCTTTACAGAAACAGGCTGCCACGTCTTTTTCTCACGGTGCTGCTGGTGGATTCGAATCGCCCCCCTTTCAGTTAGCAGCCAAGTGCTTAACCACTGTGCCCACCAGGGCCCCTTCATGCTCAAGCACTGGGCCTCAAATCCTTTTGCCAGAAGAACCAGCCAGGGCTGCAGGGGACAGGGAGAGGAGATTGGTCAGAAAACTGATGGGACAGCGTGGGTGTGGAAGAAGCTGTCAGCAGCGCCTGCTGCATCCTACATGACCTTAAAATTTTCTTAGGTGGCCAGGAGTTGCCAGTCAGTTCCAGGTAGGACTGACCTGGTTTGTTTACCTAGCCAACCAGTCCTTGCTGAGTTGACTCCAACTCACGATGACCCACGTGTGTCAGAGTAGAACTGTGCTCTGTAGGGTTTCCAGTGGCTGCTTTTTCAGAAGTAGATCACCTGGCCTTTCTTCCTAGGTGCTTCTGGGTGGACTCGAATCTCCAACATTTCCGTTAGCAGCTATTTTAGTCATTTAGTGCTGCTATAACAGAAATACCACAGGTGGATGGCTTTAACAAAAAGAAGTTTATTCTCTCATGGTCTAGTAGGCTAGAAGTCCAAATTCAGGATGTCGGCTCCAGGGGAAGGCTTCCTCTCTCTGTTGGATGTGGAGGAAGGTCCTTGTGAATCAATCTTCCCTTGGTCTGGGAGCATCTCAGCGCAGGTACCCTGGGTCCAAAGGTTGTGCTCTGCTCCCAGCACTGCTTTCTTGGTGGTATGAGGTCCCGCTTCTCTGCTTGTTTCCCTTTCTTTTTATCTCTTGTAAGATAAAAGGTGGTAACAGCCCACACCCCAGGGAAACTCCCTTTACATTGGATCAGGGATGTGACCTGAGTAAGGGTGTTACAATCCCACCCTAATCCTCTTTAACATAAAATTACAATCACAAAATGGAGGACAACCACACAATTCTGGGAATCATGGCCCAGCCAAATTGATACACACAATTTTGGGGGGAAATAATTCAATCCATGACAGTAGCCAAGCACATTAACCATTTGCACCACCCAATCCTTGTTCACCTACTCAATGGCTAATACCACCTAGAGTCTGACACGATATATTTTGACAGACTATAGATCCACGCTGTCCCATACGGTAGCCACTAGCCAGATGTGGCTACCAAGCACGTGGATGTGGCTGCTGGGCCACATGGACATGGGTTGTAACTGTAAAATACACACTGGATTTTGAAGACTTGGTACAAAAGAAAAACGGTAAAAGAGCTCTTCATATTTTTATATTGATTATATGTAGAAACAATATTTTGGATATATTGAGTTAATAAGATCATTATCTTCACCTGCTGTTTTAAACGTTTAAAAATCTGACTGCCAGGTATTTTTAAATGACACGCGGCTTGCATTTGCGTCTCATGTTATATTTCCACTAGATAGCGCTAGCCACAAGGTTCCTTTTATTGATTTCACACGGCACTGTGATCACACAGGCTTCTTAGTCTAATATTGAAAACGAAATGCCAAAATTGCGTGGACGTTACATATTGGCAATAAATTCTCTTTCCCACAAATCCAGTGCCTTTATGCTTCAATAATATGTGTCACAGAGGTCAGCAGGAGTCTCCCTGTGTGCAAGGATAAACAAAAAAACAACAAACCCACTGCCATAGAGTCGATTCCAAAACTTGCGATGTTACCCCCATGCCTGGGAATCCCTGTGAGGGGCTCTCATCTCCCTGGTCACGGACTGAAGCTGTGAGATTCTCATCTCATCTGTACCTTTTCAGCTGTTGAGATGTTTCTACCACTGCCGGGGCATTGACCTAAATGTGGACCCAGCCCTTATCATAGGTTGCCCCCTCCCCCTCAGATTCCTCCCTGCCCCCCGACACAGGACGCCACTCACAATCTACCCAAGAGCTAAAGGCGAGGGGCTGTGCGGCCTGAGGGTGAAGTAGCTCAGGACTGGGCTACACCCCTGGGCCCTGGGTAGAAAACTCAGCCCTATAAATCTAAGTCCCAAGCCCGGAGACTAACTTAAAAACTTGTGAATCCTGTAAGGTTGCGGCAGATGCGAACACTAGACTGATTTATAGCAATGTTGCTGGTACTCAAGACTCGTGGCTTTCCAGGGAAGACAAATCTTACTGAGGATGAACTTGTAAGCAAAAATTACCGAGCACATGAGGAAATAAATGAAACAAAAGCAGAGTCAATAAACCGTCAGTGAACCAGTGGTGACGGAGCTCTCTGAAAAGCAGAGCTTCACATTTTATTTAAAATGTTGAAAGAGCTGAACTATTCTAACCCCTAAGACATGATCTTGGAAAATGACACACAGAAATCCTAGAAATGAATAGCATAGTAACTGAAATTGCTTATAAAATGCATAACTTTTAAAAATTACATTTTCTAACTGACTTTTGCTAGTGTATAGAAGAAACAATTGGCTTTTGGAAATTGATTTTATACCTAGAAATCTTGCTAAATTCTATCATTCATCTAATTTTTTTCATAGAGTTTTCTGAATGGACCATCATATTGTCTGTAATTATAATGATAATTTTTTATCTTCCTGCCAAATCCTCAGACTTCATTTATTTTTCTTATCTTATTGCACTGGCTTGGATGTCTAGTACATGCTGAATGGAAGTAGTTAGAGTATAGATTTCTTAATCTCGAAAGAAATGCTTTCAACATTTTAACATTAAGTATAATCTTTGCTGTACAATTTTATAGATGCCCTTTATTAGGTTAAATAAATTCTCTTTCATTCTTGAATTTTTGCTGAGAGTTTTTTTTTTTTTTTTTGATTGTGCTTTAGATGAAGGTATACAGAGCAAATTAGTTTCTCATTAAACAATTAATACACATTGTTCTGTGACATTGGTTAACAAACCCACGACATGCCAGCACTCACCCTTCTCAAACTTGGGTTCCCTATTACCAGCTTTCCTGTCCCCTCCTGCCTCCTTGTCCTTGTCCCCAGGTTAGTGTGCCCATTTAGTCTCATTCTGTTTTATGGGCCTGTCTAATCTTTGGCTGAAGGGTGAACCTCAGGAGTGACTTCAGTACTGAGTTAAAAGGGTGTCTGAGGGCCATATTCTTGGGGTTTGTGAGTTAGAATTTTGTTCTACAAGTTTCTCCAGCTCTGTCGGAACTCTCTATTGTGATCCCTGTCAGAGCAGTTGGTGGTGGTAGCCGGGCACCATCTGGTTGTGCTGGACTCAGTCTGGTGGAGGCCGTGGTAGTTGTGGTCCATTCATCCTCTGGACTAATCTTTCCCTTGTGTCTTTGGTTTTCTTCATTCTCCCTTGCTCCAGAGGGGGTGGGACCAGTGGAGTATCTTAGATGGCAGCTCACAAGCTTTTAAGACCCCAGACGCTACTCGCCAAAGTAGAATGCAGAACATTTTCTTTATAAAATATGTCATGCCAATTGAGCTAAATCACTAAGAGGTTTTTTTTTTTAAAAACTAACAAACATATGTTGAA